TAGGACAAATATACAGCTGCTTTCTCCTAGTTCATTGAGAATAAAAGTTTGTACTAATATTGTTTAGACAAGATATTATGTCTGCATCTTTTCCTCTGAATAACTACTATGAAGGCAACAATATGAAATGTATTAATTATTGTAACCATCCTATTAATCTGATTTGAAACTGCTTCATTGCTATTTTATCTTTCTTTTCTCATTAAAATTAATAAGAAAAATAAAAATAAATATAAAAAAGAATTTCACTTAACAAGGTAATCTGAATTTCACAGCATATGTTGCAATGCATAGTGCTGTCTTCCAACCAGTTATTCATATTACCAGCTACGTGCATACAAAATTGGAAAAAGAAAGAAAAAAGAAATAAATGTGTAAGAAATTAAGACAAGAAAAAGGAGAAACAATTGAAAAAGAGACAAAACAAATTAAGCATTATCTGCTTCTTTCCATAGACCAGAAGAAATGCACAGTACAACTGTCCAAACCATCCTGCTTACATACACAGATAAATCTCTTTCCTCCACGCCCTCTCCTGTCCTTCTCCTCAACTCAGTAACTCTTTCCTTTTGAATAAGTTCATTCCCATACCCGAGTATCTATCGTACTCTTCACATTCCATTTTCTCTTTCAGGTTCTCACACTAAGGAGACAATACAGTGTTTGTACATGCAGGTCTGGTTTATTTCACATGAGAATATGGTCTCTAGTTGCATCCACGTACTCATAAAAGTCTCAAATTTATCTTGTTTTATAGGTGAATAATACTCCATTGTGTAAAATTACCACATTTTCTTTATCTCTTCTTTTGGGAGCTGCTGTCCTACCTACTCATTAGACTTTGAAGAAAACTGATTGTCAAGACTTCAAAGATATTCTTTGTTTTGAGGAATCTGTCTAATATACTACCAGTGCACACAGATGAATTATTTCTGACCATCTCCATAATGGAAGCAGTGGAACACTGTTCTATGTTTTGAATTCACTTGGTAATGATGTAACACTGTCTCTTAACACTCAGTGTTGGCAATGGTGTGGGAAAATAGGTACATTTAAACTTCATTGATAAAAGTGTAAATTTATGAATGATTTCGTCGTTGTTTTAAAATATGGAACGCTTCACAAATTTGCGTGTCATCCTTGCGCAGGGGCCATGCTAATCGTCTCTGTATCGTTCCAATTTTAGTATGTGCGCTGCCGAAGCAAGCACTTGTGAATGATTTCTAGAAGAAATTTTAGCAGTTTGGATCACCACAAAATGGTTTGCCAGTCTGCCAATAATTCTCCTTTGAGGGCTTCATCCTAATGAAATAATTGGGCAGGCATGACAAGTGATTTTGCTCACAGGTATTCCTCACAGCATTGTTTATAAATGTAAAAATATCAGGAATAAGCTACATTCTCATCACTGGGAGACAAAGCAGAGTAATAACCTCTTTCAATGACTGCCAAAAATTCATATAAAAGCTGAAGCATATTTATACCTATTGGAAGGGATCATTTTTATGAGACCGTCCCACATTTGCTCTACTAAGAGAACACATATTGAACACTTGAGGTTTAATGTCATAACTACATATTCAAACTTGCTTTGCCGATGTGTGCGCTCATGGTACTGAGTTCTAGGCAAGGGGATGTGAAAGGAAAAATGTGAACAGTTTCGATGCTGTGTGTTCACAGCTAATGGGCAGGACTTCCAGTTCCTTTCCCCAGTCTTTGCAGTTGGAAGCTGGAGAGCAACACCTCGTCAAGGGCAGACCACAGACCAATGGGGTGGAAGGAGCCTGGGCCACGGTGCCACCAAACTTCCAGATTCTGCTCACACCCCCCATAGGAACCTCCACCTCCTGAAGCTACCCTGCTTTGGGATGCTTGTAGAAGCCCAGCCTATCTTCTAAAATGTATTGTATGCAAAGGATAGAAGAGTAGGTAGTTGTAATAGATAGGGAGGTCAGAGAAGTAGGTTTTCAACAGTAAGAATGGATGGACTAGATAGGTAATTTATTTATTTTTATTTTTTAAATTTTTTTTAATGTTTCCTTTATTATTATCTTTTTATGGTCAGCTCAGCCCACCCAGGGGGCGGGTCTGGCATGGCATGTGGTGCTGGGGATCGAACCGAGGTTCCTGCATGCTTGCCTAAGCTTGCCTAAGCAGGCGCTTTAGACCACTGAGCTATCTTGCCAGCCCCTAGATAGGTAGTTTAGATAGTCCTGTGTAATGTTCATCAAACACAAAGAGTAGTTAACTATGGATGTTGGAACGGAAGGTATTTTGAATTTCTTGGTTATACTTGTCCATGCTGCAAAGAATTTGAATGACACAGTACATTATTTTATTTCTCATGAAAATTTAAACCACTGAATTTAAGGGCAAAATAAGAATCTATGGAAGTATACATTCCAAAGAGGGCTGTATGTTAAAAGAAAATGAAATAGATATGAAGATTATCCATAAAGAAATCTTCCTCAACGGTTTTGAGTAATAGTCAAATGTACAGGTTCTCACCGTAAAAGTTTGAGGTTGGAGTAATGACAGGAGTATCACTCTCTGTTGAACTGTGGAGCCATCGCCATGGCTTCTAAGAGGCATGGTGAGCTCTCTTCCTCCTAGACAATGGTCTGTAGGATGAATTCTTTTCAATAGATACTTGAATAATTTAGAGGGCTAGCCACATAGCTCAGCAGATTAAAAGGCCTACAAGCAAGCACAGGGGCCGGGCGCTCGATCCCCTGGCCTGCAGTGCCAGCCCTGCCCCCGGGGCACATTGAGAAGGCAGTTGAGACTGGGCATGGTGGCATGCGCCTGTAACGCCATCTCTTGGGAGGCTGTAAACATGCGGATCACTATGAGTCTGATTTAGTAATGCGACCCTGAACACCCTGTAGACCCTTCCCTAAAATACAGAAAAAAAAAATAATGTAGAAATATGGTTTGCTTCATGGAGTAGAATTATATACTTTCCCAAGGGAGATGTAATTGGCTAAATTTTATTTTTATCTTTTATGCACTGGGGAAGGGATTCTCCTAGCACAAAGCTTGGTCCTCAGCAGGAGTTAATAATGTGGCGAGACAGATATGACTAGGAAGATTCTGCATCTTGTTGGTAAGATTTTCAGGGTGCCCTTAATCAGACAGCAGAGTCCGAGTGCTCAGTCTGGTAAATAGTCTGATATTATAGTAAATATTAGTAATTATTATCTTTAAGCTCTTCTGTGTTTGTTTACAAAATTCCACTTTGGGGAATTTGTCTTTATAAAAGCATCTGAAGTCTTTTTTTTTTTTTTTCTCTCTCTCCCAGTACTGGGGATTGAACTTAGCACTTGCCAGGCAGGCACTTATTCTACTGAGCCATCTCCCCGGCCTATAAAAGCATCTGAAACAAGGAGAAGTTTTATATACATAGATGTAAAATGTTAGTTACATAATCAGCGATCTAGAATCTGCTCAGAAGCACGACAGCAGCATGCCAGGAAATGCACATCCTCACTACAGGCTTACAAAGATCTTGTAATGCCACAGTAAACTTTTATTTTATTTTTATTTTTTTTGTATTTTAGGGAAGGGTCTACAGGGTGATCCAGGTCTCACTACTAGATCAGACTCATAGTGATCCGGGGGATCGAACCCCTGGCCCCTGAGCCTGCTTGTAGGCACTTTAATCTGCTGAGCTATTTGGCCAGCCCTAAAAGGTGAGAAGGATTTTTTTTTTTTGGGCTGGCTCAGGCTGCCTTAAGGCAGGTCTGGTAAGGCTTGGGGAACTGGGAATCAAACCATGATCCCCTGAGCCTGACTGGGTTTGCCTCAGCAGGCGCTTAAACAACTGAGCTAACCCACAAGCCCCTAAGTAAAAGTTTTAATATTTGGTTAGGTAAGGAAAAAAATACTAGAGGCTCTGGTTGCCTTTTTGATCCCATTTCCTTTATCATCTATTCTTTTATACGTCATCAGAGAATACTTTCATGCATGTGGTTGAAATCTTGTTGCTCTTCTGTGCAAATAATCACTACAGCTTCCTTGTTAATCAGAGTGGAAATTAAAGTGCTTGCAGTGGGCCATAGGCTGGAATATGGCCTGGACGATAAACTCCCACCCTGCCCTCGTTTGGTCTCACATCTCAGGATTCTGGCTTTCTCATCTTCCTGGCCACCGTGGCCTCTTCCATCCTCTTCCTATGCTGCACAGACCTTTGCCTGGAGCTCCTAAGCTCACAGAAGCATCCTCACCACCTCATTTCTTTTTCCCCTTCCTCCTGCTTCTTGGTCCATGGTCAGATGAGTGGTTCCTGTGTCCCTGCAGTGTACTTTCTAACTTTCCTTTCCTTCTTCCAGAATCTCAGTTCCATGCCATCCGGGGTGTGTCTGAGTTGCTTAGAGCAAGAATCTGTACGTGTTCAATGAAGAGTTGGTGAATGGATGAATTCTGGGTTAGTAATTTTTATTTCAACTTTTTAGGATGCTCTAAATATAAGGAGCAGGTGATACTTTTAATTTTAATTATGTAAGCGACACATGAATTTACTCTTACTGAAAAAAATTCCTGATATACAACTGTCCTCTAATCCACAGTCTTCCACTAAAAAATATGGGCCCTATTTTTCCCAAAGTCAAAATGACCCTAAAAGATAAAGATTTCAAATGGATTTAGGACATTTTGGCAGTGTAACACCACAACTAAAGATACTGATGAAAGAGGACTTCCCGAACTGCTTCAGAAAGTGGGAACCATGTGGGATAAGTGTGTTCAAAGCAAGGGGAAATGCTTTGAGGAGAATTATTGGCAGCGTATCTGTTACTTAAAATTTTTCTAAAAAGTTACATATTCACTGTATATTTTGTCCACTCCTCCTATAGTGGACTGTTTCCTCACTGGCAGATATTTAGCTTGTTGCTGATGTTACAGTGAAAGAATGCTGCATGATTATTTTTTTTCTTGCCTTTTGTGCTCAGACAACTCTTTCTCTATGATAAATCCAAGAAAAAGAACTTACTGGGAAAGTGAATGTACACATATATAAGCATAGCAGACATCACTATATTTTCCTATCTTTTTATGAAAACAAATTATGAGTATGAAAGGGCACAAGCTAAGCTGGAAACACTGCAAGGCTCACAGCTGGCTACACCCACCTGATAGGTCATTGGTCCGATTATTGAGACAGTAGCAGAACCTTGTGGGGAATCTGGCCGTGTCCACTGTCTTCAGGTTAGAAACTGTGAAGAAAGGGAGTTTCTCCGCAACTTTGATATCTCAGTTGCTCTGCAGCCCCTCCTCCACCACTGTCACCACGAGGAAGAGACAGCCCCTACTCACTGTTGTAGATGGCCAGGGAGACCTTGTGGAAGGCGAAGGAACTGTAAGAGGTAATGCTCAGCAGGGAGAAGAACCGCCTGCTATCTGCTCAAAGAAAGGGAGGAAAGGGAACAAACAGCAGACACCTGCTAACGAGGCAGCAAAGAAACCGGACTGCCAGCAAGCCAACCGGCTCATAAACCAGGGACAACACTGAACATTCAAATGACAAAAGTTACAAATAAGAAAAATAAAACCAAAATAAGAAACAAAAGCAAACCAAGCAGAATGTCTCACTTGGCCAGACATTCTTTCCAGAGCTCGGGACACTTTCTAAATAAGAAGGTATCTTGGTTTCCTGGGGCTGTTGTAACAAACTGCCACAAAGTTTGTGGCTCACTCAATGGAAACTCGGGCTTTCACAGCTTTGGAGGCAGGCAGGAACGCTAGCACAGGAAGGTAGCAATCCTTAGGACCCTGAGTTGTAATGAACATCTCTAGTGACTTTTATTTGGATAAGTTTGTGTCATTTGGGGACAGGTGCTGCAGTGGCTGAACCTTTGGGTTTTGGTGTGTACATGTCACTACCAGAGCCCGTTCTGCCTCAGCTTTCTGGGAATAGCTTCACAGAGAACTTGATGCCATACACAGGGTACAGCCTCGGCTCTGTGCTTGTCAAAGTTTTTAGGAGAACGGGTATGCACCAAGCTTGAGTACCCACTGCTCAGTTTCCTCATGTTTCTCAGGTGGGAAGCGTCATCATTGCATCATTGGTAAAAATGTCCATTTGGGCCTCAGCTAAGACCAACTAACTGAACCTGAATCTTCAGGGCCAGGACCTGGGGGCTGTGCTATATGTTAAACATTCCAGGTGCTTCTTACAATGCAGTAAGTTTGGGAAACTTTGGGAACATCATGGGCTTGAGCTAAATGGAATTCCAGTCTGAATCATAGTAAGAATGCTTCATTTTCTGCATCTGAGAAGTGGGACTGATGGTACCACCTGCTGGGAATGTTCTTGGGTTAAATAAGTGCTGACAGAGCTTGTGTTCCTTGAAGGTGGGGGCTATGACTTAGGGTTTTTTTTTTCTGGTTAAACATTGTGTTTATTTGTAGATTAAATATGGTATTTGTGTGTCAGATTGACAAGGGCTGGGATGCAACAGTTAAAGTAGATTGTCAACTTGATTGGTATGAGAGCTGTATAGGGAACTGATAAACTTCCATGAGCTTTTATCCCTCCCTGGTCCTGTCTTTATAGCAGCTGCATTGTTTTGTTGCATTTATTGTCTGTCTTCTTCTAGGTGATGAGTGGGTTCAAGACAGGGATACACCTCATCTTATCTCTGTAAACCTTCTGTGCTAAGCACACAAAATATTCAATAAATATTTTATATGAATCTATGAGGCAAGTCCTATTGTTACCCTATTTTATGGATAAGGAAATTGGCATCAAAAAGGTCAAGTAAATTAGCCAGTGTGTGGTTAGGTCTTCCTAATTCCAGGGTCAGAGCAAGTAGCTTCTTATAGCTTTGGCAGCCAAGAGTCACAGTGAGCTCACAGACCCAAATCACAGCTGTTCCCATACTCAAAAATGAAGACCCAAGTTTTGGTTTTCAGCATGTAAAGAGCCAGTTAGGAGCCATGACTTTGGAGTCTCTGTCCTGTTCTGCAGAGCCAGGTGCAAAGCTTTGCAGAGGACAGGACGGGGTTAACAGGTGCACTGGCATGCTGCCCAGAGGCCTGGTGAGGCATCTGTCTGTCCCCAGTCGTCACAGTAACTCATCATTCTCAGGAACCACAAGCATCCCCAAGCAGCCCCAGTGATGGCAGCTCCCTGGGACCAGTAAGAGCAGGGCTTGCATCTTTGAGACTACAACTCGAAACATTGAGACAGAGAGAGGCTAAGTGAACAAGGATGGACCCACCACAGAGAGGTGTGCAGCTTGTCTGTTGCACAACCCTAGGAAAAGCCACTCACCTGGGCCTTGGTGTTGAATCAGTGTTCCTTATTATGCTTATTTCTGTTACTTTTACACTTGTTGGAATTTGAGCTCTCCTTGGGCAGGGACTTCTGTCAGGGTTATTCACTGTCTTGTGCTCATACCAAAATAATGCCTGGCACATGATAGATACTGACCTCTAAAAATTTATTGGACAAAGTGGGATATAAATAATGTGGGAAATAAAAGATGCACACTGGAGATCCTTCTTGCTTTGCAGTTAATTTTGGAAAGGTCTACTTCTCTATATCCATCATTTGACTTGGTTAGAATATATTCACATACATCCATTATTTGACAAAAGAAATTATTTTACTACAGATGATAAAGAGCACAGAATATTGGAATGGCATCATAAGCATTTGGTAGGACTCCGCCTTCTAAAAAGGGTAGAAAGTCCAGATAAGAGTAAGTTAATGAATAATTATTGTTTATGGCAACAGACCTTTGATTGCATCACTGACAGTAGAGCATGTTTGGAGTGTGGTTTGCTTCGGGGGTGCCTCTAGACTTCCTACCTCTCGCTAATGCTTTCAGTCTCATGGGTTAGGGAGGAGAATGTACTCTCCACCTTCAGCTCCAGGAGAATGAGACACGGAGGAGAGAGTCATCCTGCCCAGGTTGCAGACAGGCCTAGCAGAGATGCTGGTGCAGGAGAAAAATGGGTCTGTATTGCGTATGGTGCGGCACAGGTGGTTACCTTTCAAAGCTCTGCTTAGCATCCTGTTTACAACCTCCGTCAGGTTAAGTGCAGACAGATCAACAGACCTTGCAGGCAACTCTGAAAGAGATCCAAGGACATGCTTGGCAGCAGGCTTTTCACAGCAGCAGAGTTTCTTGTTGCCAAACCCCAGGTGGATAAACTTCCTTCTCAGACATGTGCGGAACACATACCAAGTGTCAGGCACAAGAGCTCTGAGACAAGAGGCAGTGGCTGTCAGGAACTCAGGAGGCAATAGCCAAGGACATGCTGAGTGAGAAAGATAGTACCCGGTTCAGTGATTGTTTCATCTCTGCTTTTGGGGAGAATGAAGATTGTTTGGTAGGAAGCCATAGACATCACAAGGGACTCTGCAGCTCTGAAAGTAGAAGCCAGAAAATGCCACAACTGCAGGGCTTGGGCTCCATCCTCTCAGAGATCCAGGGTTAGCAGGCCTAGGCTATGACCTAATGTCAAGTGGGAAAAACAGATCCTCCCCAGGCACTGGTAGACGGAAGCCTTTGGAGGAGACATTGTGGGTAAAGACCCCTTCTCTGGCAGGTAGCTTCTCCTCAAAGAGCCAGAAACAACAGAAGACCATCTGGAAATAGCAACTGTGCTCCTCTCTCTCTATCTTTACAAGCATTGTTAAACTTCCACTTTTGTTCAGATAATAATTTGAGAGATGGCATCACCCACACCAAGGGGCTACGGAATGGATGCCCAGGACAAGGGAGAATTTGCTTAGCAGCCCGTCGCCTATGGTGGGGGCAGATGCTAAACCAGAGACTCACCTGTGGAAGCAAGAAATGCCAGGCCTTCCTCCTTCCACTCTTCTTTAAAGACAGACCCTGGGGAGGGAGAAGGTTCCATGAGGGCAGTGCAAGTCCCCATCTGGGCTCTGGGAGCTGAGAAAGCTTTGGAAGCTCTGAGGCTCAACCATGTAGGAATGCTGGGAACACTAAGGAAGGTGGGTTCCCACGATCACCTTGTGCTCAGGCCTCATCTGCAAACACTGATCTCCTTGGACTGGGTATAGCCTAGATGCCCACACTATAACAGCTATGAAAGCTATTACCTAATCTAACTCTAATCTACCTAACTCTTAGACTTGGTTGGGAAACAGAGGCTCAGGCCAAAAAGCAATTCAGGTAACTTTGTATAACTGTAGTGGTAAGCATAGGCTTAGAACCTGCATTCTGGTACTACAGAGAAATAGCCCTTCCTGACCCTTAGGCCCCGCAACTACCATAGTTGGTAAATTTCATGCTATCAAATGAGAAAATGCCAAAGGCAACTTGAAACTATCAAAAGCATTTCATTCACTCATAAATCCATCCATCAATTGATCGATCCATCCATCCATCCACCCATCCATCCACTCAACAGATACTCCCTGAGGATCCAGTGATATGCTAGGTGTTAGATATGAAGAGCTTAACAGGAAATGACCTACTCTCCACACAAAGCTTCCTGTTTTGTGACTTCAGCAGGAGGAGATTCATGGGGAGTGACAGGTGAGGAGCACCAACATGGAAAAGAGCAGGTGATGTGATCACTTGTACCAGGGCAGTCACCTGGGGTAGGGGTGGAGAAGGCCTCCTGCGGGGATCATTTATTTCCAACTGGAGGGTGCCCAAGCATATTGCACCTGCAGCTATCCCTCCTGCAGTGACTGGGCTCAGGTGCATTCATGTGGAGAGAGGGGCTCTATGGGAGGAAGCTCCAAGGTACAGAGAAGGAGGAAGGAAGGATCAAGGTACAGAGAGTCCGAAGGGTGCATGGAACATTCCAGATTGAGTCAGAGTTTAGGGCTGGATGACTTACTTGTTGGAGCAAGAGAAGTCCCATCCTTTTCCTTCTTAACACCTTTAATTCCAGACACTGTAATAAAAGTCCCATCAGTCAAGTGACACTCAGGAAGTGCCACTCATGCAGTCCATAAATCCTCAAAACTTATCTTGCCCAGTGCCCCTTTCAAGGCAGAGAGAACTAGGACTCAGAAAATCAAGAGGTGTGCCTAAATCTTGCCTCTGGCTAGAGGCTGAGGGAAAACTGAAACACAGCCATCACCCCTCTTCTGCTTTCACTTCATTTCATGTCATTTTAGTGTGGTAAGAACACTTGTTATAAGATATACCAAAACATGGTGCTCTTAATTATAGGTACCATGCTGTATAGCACAACTCTAGAACTTATTCTTCTTGCAAAAATGAATGTAAGGCTGGTGAATGCCTTTTCATGTACCTTGATTCACTTAGAGACCTCACATGCTTCATTTAGATTGTGTACTATTTGGCTGGCAGTGCCCAGCTTCTTGCACTTAGCTTGATGTCCTCCATGTTGTTACAAAAGGCAGAATTTTCTTCTTTCTAAAGCTGAATCTTATTCCACTGTGTGTATGTAAATATGCATTGCATTTTCTTTATCGGCTCATCTACTACTGATGGACGGTTAGTTTGTCCCCTCTGCTTTTCAAGTACCCTTTTGAAACTGGGGCCAAGTCAACTATTGCTTACTTAATTCAACTTGACCTTTTACAAATTGTCAAGGTTCTTGGTTCTTGGTTAAATGTCAGAGATTCCATGATTTTAGGTAGATGGAAGCTGTAACTCCCCTCGCCCACACAATAAGGTTGCTGAAGCAGAGAGGTTGTATTACAACAGGAGGCAGTTGGAGACTGATATGAATTATGCAACTGGCCCAAATCTGTCACACAACCTGTTGTGTAGCTCGGGAGAGCCCAGCTATGTCCTGGCACAGTGAGCGGCCTATACCTCTCCATCTTGTAGCAGCTGCTTTGACATCTGAGGAAAAATCATTGGCCATGCTGGCTACTTGTCCTTCCTGTAGGTGACATTCAGGCTGACCTATCTTCCGACCTCCAGCTGCGGGATTGTGGGATTCTCATACTTTCAGCTGCAGCAGTGGACACAGGCCAGTCTTTCTGAATAGTTGTCATTCTTGAACAATCATCTTTTTATCAAAGAAAGACTTTCCATCAACCCCCTTCTTTTCTTTCTTTCTTTCTTCTTTCTTTCTTTCTTTCTTTCTTTCTTTCTTTCTTTCTTTCTTTCTTTCTTTCTTCTTTCTTTCTTTCTTCTTTCTTCTTTCTTTCTCTTTCTTTCTTTCTTCTTTCTTTCTTTTTTTCCTTCTTTCTTTCTTTCTTTTTTTTTTTTCGGAACCAGGGATTGAACTCAGGCCCTTGTGCTTGCCAGGCAAGCTACCGAGCTATCTCCCTGGTCCCAACCCCCTTTTTAACATTACACATCCTGGGGTGGAGTTGGCAACAATCTTTGAAGTGCCAACTAAACATTTCTTGGACACATAATTTTCAATAAGATATTACAGAGAAATATTTTTTATGGCTAGAAAGACCCTTAAAATAGAAGGAGCCTGACCTTCTTCATACTTCTCCATGGTTAGTATTTTACCACATTTTATCCTTTGTCATTACTGGTTCAGGAACCGGTCTCATTTGAAGGGAATAAAATTGGAATCTCAGAATAATGATTTGTGGAAAACTATCCTACTTACAAATATTGGTGCAATTGGTGTCTTCAGGAAGAGGGAAATGGTTGGCTGGGGTGGGGCTTGTTTCCTTTATATGCTCTTATATCTTTTGTTATTTGAATAAAGTGACTGCTCCAATGAATTAAAATTAAATTTTAGACAATAAAGATCAACTTCTATGCCCCCTCCTAAAAGAAGCATATTAAAACATCATCCTGCTTGCTTATCAAAAAATATAAGAGCAAATTATAAGTACAGTCCCTGATTCCTCTGTCTATTGTGTTGTAAGAATTTTACCTTCTCATGGTATGGTTGATCTCATACCATCAACAAAGGAAAAATGGAGAAAGATGAGATTGCCATGAAGGTGAGGATGGCAAACAACAATACTTCCCATTGTACAATCTTCTATCACTGATAGATTGTCATAGCCTAAGTGGATTTGATAAGATACCGAGAATATAAATATTCAATGAACTAATAAACAGCTCATAAAACTGTTCCTACCACTGTTAGAGTGTTAGATAGAGGCTCCATTGGTAGTTAAGGAAGTCAAGGACTTTACCCAAGAACAGAGTGAGCCACTGGAGAATACTACCCATTTACCTGTTATGCCAGCAGATAGGAAGCTCATCCCCTTTTGTTTCTTAGCTTCTCCTTTGATGGCAGACACTAAAGTAAAATAGGTCTCATCAGAGAAGTTATAGCCCAAACATGAAACCAGACAGAATTTTATCCAAATTACCTTTCACAGATGAGAAAATTATGATCAGTGATTCTGACATGATTAAAGAGTCCCCTTTAGCTTGCTGCTTCATTTCACCATTCATCATTTAGAACTTACTGAAGAACTATAGTAGCACCAGTGATTGGTAGTGTTACTGAGCCCCATAATTGGCTAGCTGCTGTGTGTGTTGAGGAGGCAGACATAAAACCGTGGAGGAAGGACAAAGTGAGGACAATGCTCACTACCTGTTTAACAAGTATGGGACTGTGGGGGTGTGACCTGGAGCCTGGTCTCATCTCGGCAGTCTGGAAGCCTTCCCTGGAAGGGGCTGCTGAACTGTAATTGGAAGGATGAACAGTATTTGGGTAGGATGTAACTAGTTGAGGGATATTTGATGGGTAGAGACCAGCATGTGCCCAAGGCCTGCTGTTCATGGTACATTAAGGAATTGGTGGAAGGCCAGCAAAGAAGAGAAGGAGTGGACACTCATAGGCACTCGTGAAGGTAAGGAAAGCAGGAACACGTGGAGCACATAAAGTACTCAGGAACTTATCCCACAAAAGTAGGTAGTGACTGAGTAACTCTGGGGGAGAGCAATGTATGGAAAATGCAATGAAGTAAGATAAGGAGGAAAGGTCACTGAGGCAGATGGTGAGCAGATCGTGAGCCAAGAAGAAACAGGAAGGAGAGAAGGGTGGATGGAGCAAGCGTGGAAACAGTGGCAGTGCACAGCGTTCTGTGGCACAATTGAAACTCCACCACAGAAAGTCAAGAGGTGAAACCGGACACGGGATTTATGATTGCCGTTTTGATCAAACTCATTGCAGATTCTGAATTGAAGTACTGGCTAGTGAGATTCTTAGAAACAGTGAAAATCCAGACTTATAGAAGTGGGAGAGAGACTTACAGAACTTACCGGACCCACCTGTGTTCCCGAGGGACAGGACACATGCTAGGGCTATGCACAGCCTCCCCGGAGGACTGCAAAGCAGGAAGTTTAGCATATTGTGACACTCCCGTCACCTGGAAGCACACAGGCAAGCAACCAGAGGAAAAGGCTTGATTATTAAGGACACTGATGAAAAATATCCCTTGTGAACACTACATAGGAAATCCTCAAATCATGAGTTATAATAAACACACGGTGAACATTCATTTCTTTTTAAAACATTATAGTAAAAGACGCATTGCCATGAAGCCTCCTCCACTCCTCCCTCACTTTGAATACAACTGTCCCCCTATTCTTGTCAATTTTAAAGCAGTTCTGCAAGTCCCCCGGCATAAGTGTCTTTAGTTGTGCTCTCCTGGCCACTTTGATGTCCTGAATTGTTTCAGCATATTTATCTCTCATGAACATTTTGACTTGGGGGAAAAGCCAGCAGTTACATGGTGTTGGATCCAGTAAACAAGATAGACAAGGGCAGGCTGTAATGTTTGTACAAGGCTGCCTTTCAGCTGGATGGAATTCCACTGTAGCAT